ATAAAAATTCTAGAAGAAACCTAGACAATACCACTCAGGACATAGGTATAGGCAAAGACTTCATGACTAAAACACCAAAAGCAATTGTAGCAAAAGCCAAAATGGACAAAGGGGATCTATTTAAACTTATGAACTTCTGTACAGCAAAAGAAATGCTCATTAGAGTGAACCAGCAACCAACAGAATGGGAAAAAACTTTTGCAAGTTACCCATCTGACAAAGGGCTAATATCCAGAATCTACAAAGAATTTAAACAAATTTGCAAGAAAAAATACCAATCCCATCAAGAGTGGGCAAAGGATATGAACAGACACTTTTCAAAAGAAGATATTTATGCAGCCAACAAACATATGAAAAAATGCTCATCATCACTGGTCATTAGAGAAATGCAAATCAAAGTCACATTGAGATTTCATCTCACACCAGTTAGAATGGAATGGCGATCATTAAAAATCTGGAGACAACAGATGCTGGAGAGGATGTGGAGAAATAGGAATGCTTTAACATTGTTGGTAGAAGTGTAAATTAGTTCAACTATTGTGGAAGACAGTGTGGCAATTTCTCAAGGATCTAGAAATAGAAATACAATTTGACCAAGCAGTCACATTGCTGGGTATACACCCAAATGATTATAAATCATTCTATGATAAAGACACATTCACCCATATGTTCATTGCAGCACTGTTTACAATAGGAAAGACTTGGAAACAAGCCAAAGGCCCATCAAAGATAGACTGGAAAAAGAAAATGTGGCACATATACACCATGGAAGACTATGCAGCCATAGAAAAGATGACTTCATGTCCTTAGCAGGGACATAGATGAACCTGGAAACCATAATTCTCAGCAAACTGACACAAAAACAGAAAACCAAACACCCCATGTTCTCACTCATAAGTGGGTGTTGAACAATGAGAACACATGAACATTATAAGGGGAACATCACACACTGGGGTCTGTTGGGGGGCTAGGGGAGGGATAGCAGGGGCTGGGGAGATTGGGAAGGAATAAGATTAGGAGAAATACCTAATGTCGGTGATGGAGGGATGGCTGCAGGAAAACATCACAGCATATGTCTACCTATGTGGCAATCCTGCACGATCTGCACATGTACCCCAGAACTTAAAGTAAAATTAATAAAAAAAAGACATTTGACTGGATATTCATATTCTTTATTTGCAAAATCTAACCTATAAATCTTATACCCTCAGTCTCCAGGTACTTTTCATGTAATGTAGAAACCTGGTACTTCCCAAGATTTTGCATTTCATCCACAGGGCACTTTTACAGAAACCCTTCAATGAGGAGCTTCCTGGGGGTGAGCTGCTGGTGATGCAACAGACTTCACTTCACACGCAGCAGAGGGCCATGCCTGGCAGGCAAAGCCTCTGGACAAAGCCTGCCCTTCCATTTTCTCCTTGCCTTTTAAAGATAACTACTGACAGGGAAACCCCAGATATCTTTGATCTTAATGCTGAGGTGTCTTTTGACTTAGTCTTTTTATTCCCTTCATTTCCTTAGTTGATTTCTCATCCAGTCCCATGGCTTCAAAACATGTGCTGACAAAACTCCCAAATATATATCTCTGCGAAGATGCCTCACTAGAACTACACACTCATATCAAACTGACTACTTGACATCTCCTGCACAATGTGAAATGACATCCTAATTTATCACATACAAAAGAAACCCGTGCTTTTTCCCAAAAACTTATTCCATGTCCCACCATACTGATTGTGGATTAAAATTTATTTGGGATCTGCAATTTTTCAACTGCCCAGGCAACGAGGGCCATCCTTAACTTCTCTGTCCTACCACTTGTCCAATACGTCAGGTATTCCTGATGCCTCTAACTTGAAAATATATGCTTTATCTAATCACTGTTGATTACCTCTGTTGTCATCACTCTGCTTCTACTCTGATGGGGGTCAATATAATAGCTTCTTAACAAGGCTTTCTGCTGCTACACCTGCCTTCTTACAGTTATTCTTACTCAGTGATTCTTTTAAAGTACATGTTTAAGAGAGTATGGAGTATGCTACTCCTATGCTTAAGACTCTGCAAGGAGTTTTTTTGTACTAAGTGTAAAAGGTGAAGTCTTTGCAAGGGTCCCCAAGGTCCCGCTCTTGTCTTTCTCCTCCACTCACTCACTCAGCACCAGGCTCCTTCTTGTTATTCCTTGAACAAAGTAGGCAAGCTCACTTCCTGTGACCTTGTTATGCATGCTATGCATGCTTGTTAGTTTTTTCAACAGTGCTTGTGGCTTTCCAACAGAATCATATCATTTATTATATTTATTTTCATGTCACTGGAATGTAAGCTCTATGAAAACAAAGATTTGTATCGGTTTTTCTCATGTATTTGCCTGAATACCTAGAACTTCATAATAGGTTTGGTATGATTAAATAGACTATATTATATGGTATCTGCCTATGTCTAATAATCTTTCACATGAAAAACTATAGAATTTGCAATTACAGTGATATTTATAAAATATAAATCTGAAGATACTATACCCTTTCTAAAAACAGATTAATTATTTCTTTAACCTGCCTGTAGAGTAAAAACTGAATATAAATTTGGCTTAAAAGTTCCTCAAGTTCTGCTCTCGCCTTACTTCCCCAATTTTATCTTTCACTCTTCTCCTTTGCAAACTAAATAAATATACAGAATATTATTCTCTTTCTTCCAGGCCACTAAGGTTTCTGCTAATTCTAGGCCTTTGTACTATCTGTTCACCTTTTCTACTCCCTCTTATGCTTTCCTTAGCTAGATTTTCCTCATTCCTTATGTCAGTATGTGGAAGTTACCTCCTGGAAGTCCTTTCTACTCCTACAAATGAGGTGTCTTTCATAAGTGCCCCGAGAGAGTCCTCTCTGTTGATGCAATGAATAATTACATGTGGCATTGTGTTGATATCATTTACTTCCCTCTCACCTCTCCTAGAGCCAAGCTCTATGAGAGCAGAGACCAGATACTGTTAATTATGCTGTATCCCCACTGTTTAGCATAGTTACCTTAACCTGAAGGCTCTAACATTCCCTGAAAAAAATAAATAATTGAATCAATAAATAAACAATGAATAAGCACACAAATCTACTACCATGAGTTTCTGCATTTTAATTGTGCTCATGTAGCATACAATCAGGTAGTTTACAGAAAAATACCAAGGTGATAGGATTCATACCAAGTAGACTGTGAATACACTATGACCCAGTGGCTTGCTATACTTACATAAGCAGAATGTTTTGTATAATTTTTGTTACTCTAAATAGAATCTTGATTGTGACTTTGCAACAGAATACGTAATGCATCATTACACGTTTTAATTATATTGTTGTATAAAAGGCATGCTTTTAATTAGAGGTATGTAACTCATTTGACAGAAAAGGAAAAGTTATCTCAATTGCTTTTGTGAAATGTTATTATATTGTGTGTAGACATTAACTGAAAATTACAAATTCTATTTTAATTTTATTTTTTTAATAAAAACTTTATGTATTCTTTGCAAATGTTTAATTTTTTTTCAAATATGACTCATTTATTGTATGGCCTTTGTGTTGTGTTGCTTCAGCCAATATTGGGTGGTGAGTGCAAACACCGAGGCTGTAGTCACACTCTCTGTATTTGAAATTGCTTCTTAACAACCCCATGGCCTTGAACAATATGCATACAATCCCTGTGTATTCTTCTTCCTCCAGGAAATGCAGGTGATGACAGTACCTAGTTCATGAAGTTGACATTAATATTGAATATATTCATAAAATGTATACATAGCAAGCACAGCATGAGTGTTGACTATTATTAATGTTATCTGTATTTCAATTCGATTAATAATGCATATTGGTTTTTGGTATGGACAGTGAAGGAGTAATGAATTATTAATGTGCATGTCTCAGGTTGTCTTCCATAATCAATGGTTTTAACAATGCCTGGTGAATACTTATTCTTTTAAGTATTCTTAAAAATACTTTAATAAAACAAGGAAATGATGTTAGAAAAAGGAAAGTTAGTCATTTCCAACTGGAAATTCATGATTGAGGTATTTTCTATACTAACTTTAAAGAAGATATTAACCAAATTGAGATTCTCCCTAGATTCTGAAAGTGAGAAGCCCCTGAGTGATAAAGCACAAATTCCTGCACTGAGAGACCAGATACTATGTCTTCCTGCCTCGTCTGGGTGAAGACGAAGGACTGTGGCCTCCCCAGGTGACTAAGATTTCTTACAGAAGAGTTCATGGCACCATGACCGCTCTCTCAATCTCCAGAAGCCAAGTATGCCTTCTAAGACTTTTCCTATCAGTGATTAAAAAAATAATCATAATTCACACCTATACCCCCATCCTGCATGTGGACACACACATAGGGCTTGCTGGGTTCATCATTTTGACAGATTTACTGTTTAGTGTTTAAGGTGAATGGTTTCATAAAGATCAGGAAAAAAGTTAAAAATCTTAGGGACTGTTGAAAGGGGTTAATTTTTATTAATTGTTTAATAAAAACTAATTTGACCAGTGACTGAAAGCTATCTTTTGTATATCAATTACGTGTATCTTCCTAATTTTAAAAGAACATGAAGTTCTTGATGTAGTAAGAAGCTCATTTTGGCTGCTCACAGTTGTTCATGCTTGTATTCCCAACACTTGGGGAGGCACAGGAGGATGGATTGCTTGAATTCAGGAGTTGGAAAGCAACCTGGGCAACACAGCGAAACAGCATCTCTACCAAAAACCAAAAATTTATTAAATCCCATTGGTCTATCTTGGGGGGAGCTAGGGGAGGGACAGTGTGGGTTGGGGAGGGTAGGGAAAGATAACGTGGGGAAAAAGGCCAGATATACATGAAGAGGGAATGGAGGCAGCAAACCACCTTGTTATGTATGTACCTATGCAACAACCCTGCATGATCTGCACATGTACCCCAGAGCCTAAAGCACACACACACACACACACAAAAAAAAAAACCAGACACAATCATGTGTGCCTGTTAAGGGAAAGCGGTTAAGGGAAAGCGCCGAGATGACGGGCTTTCTGCTGCCGCCCGCAAGCAGAGGGACTCGGAGATCATGCAGCAGAAGCAGAAAAAGGCAAACGAGAAGAAGGAGGAACCCAAGTAGCTTTGTGGCTTCGTGTCCAACCCTCTTGCCCTTCGCCTGTGTGCCTGGAGCCAGTCCCACCACGCTCGCGTTTCCTCCTGTAGTGCTCACAGGTCCCAGCACCGATGGCATTCCCTTTGCCCTGAGTCTGCAGCGGGTCCCTTTTGTGCTTCCTTCCCCTCAGGTAGCCTCTCTATCCCTGGGCCACTCCCGGGGATGAGGGGGTTACCCCTTCCCAGTGCTTTTTATTCCTGTGGGGCTCACCCCAAAGTATTAAAAGTAGCTTTGTAAAAAAAAAAAAAAAAAAATTGTCTCAAGCTATTTGAGAGGCTGTGGGAGGATCGGCTCTCCTGAGTCTGGCTGTTTGAGCCTGCAGTGAGCTGAGATTACACCACTACTGCACTCTAGCCTGTGCAGCTAGACCATGTCTCAAAACAACAAAAAAACATTATTTTTACACTGATTACCACTAAAACAAGTATATCAAGACTTATCTCATATAAAATGTGAATTTTGGATGCTATTCAGTTTAATTTCAGCTATTTGACATATGTAAAACAGTTTTTACATATTTCAACATTGATGAGCCTGAAATTGTCTTAGATGTAGGATAGAATAAACCCCTTATCACTGTGAATACTCACAGCAATCTTAATTAATTCTCTCTTGTTTGCACCCACTTTTCTCTGCAGGTCCACCTGTCCTGTCTCCCTGACATACCTCGCTGCCTGAGGACCATTTTCCAGATCTTCCAAAGAGTATGCATTATGTTAGATAAGAGTTTGAAGTATTATAACATTGTTTTCATAAAGTAAAAGACAAAGGAAATAAACAGATTGATTTCAGTGTTGAAAGAAAAGGGGAGGAGGCTCTCCAACTACAAAAGGAAGTATGTACTATCACATCAGTAGAAAGACAAAGGAGAAATATAGTCCTAACATTAGAAGATTGAAAGAAAATATTTCTACATTTTGTTGTTTCAGACAGGCATGCAGGAAAGACAAAAGCACACGCAGAATTATCAAGTTTGTTGAAAATGGATGAAAGGAAAGATTAGATTTTTTTTTTTTTTTTTTTTTTTTTTTTTTGAGACAGAGTTTCACTCTTGTTACCCAGGCTGGAGTGCAATGGCGTGATCTCAGCTCACCGCAACCTCCATTCCCTGGGTTCAAGCAATTCTCCTGCCTCAGCCTCCCGAGTAGCTGGGACTACAGGCATACACCACCATGCCCAGCTAACTTTTGTATTTTTAGTAGAGATGGGGTTTCACCATGTTGACCAGGATGGTCTCAATCTTTTGACCTTGTGATCTGTCCGTCTCGGCCTCCCAAGATTAGATTTTTTTAAATGCTGCTGCTGACAAAGGGTTAGGATCATTTTCCAGGTGTTCTCCAAATACAAGTAAAGGCTTATAGAATATTTTGGGTTGTTACAGTCGGTATATTTTATTTTTTATATTATACATATTTTATTTTCTTGATATCTTAAATGCAGAGGAATAGTTTACCTCATTTTTCAACTAAGAAAACTTTATCATTATCAGTTAGTTTGGACCCCATTCATGGATGTATTTATGTATTTATTTTAAGCTCAAAATAAAATGTGTATAATTATATATATTTTGTAACCACAACACTCACTTTTGTTCAAAATGCAGCCAATCTATTATTTGATGTGTAACTTTGACAGTCCTTATGTGCTGATGTTTTATATATGCATCTTAAGTATAGGAATCATATTGTTTCTCATATAATTTCTGATAATTACCATCTCCCCCATATCTGATGCAGACTGATGGATTGTGAGATGAAAATAATAATATATTAGTAGAAAATTTAATTAAGGAAGTTATAAAAACACATATTATGAGATATAAGGATGAAAAATACATTTTAGTAAACACTATAAAACAAAGAAAAAGGGAAAAAGAAGTCTGAAACTGTAGATGTTGTTTATTGAAAGTGAAATTGAGGAGGGTACTCAAGATGGCGCTGTGAGAACAACCCAGGATTGGAGCCCGCGTTGAATTCGCAAACGGTGAGTCAGTGCTGCATTTCCAGACTGATCTTTGTTGCCCACAGAACGGGGAAACTCCCAAGTATAAAAAGACACGGGACGCCAGGCAGTAGGTCTGCCTGGCGAAGCCGGCAGCCGGGGCGGCGGCGGCCGGCCCTACCCAGCAATCCCCACAGGGCGCGCTTGTCCGGGTGCCCTGTTGAACCGGCAACCTGAGACTTGAGAGGGCTGGACTTGAGACTGAACGAGACTTGCACAGTAGCCCAGCCCAGGGGATTGCAGGGACAGATCGCTTGGGATACCCAGTGGGACGAACAAAACCGCGATTTCAAACTATCCCGGGCAGACGGTCCGAGACGCTCTGTGGGGGAGGGGCATCCACCACTACGGAGGCAACCTACCCCAACTGAGATACACGCCCACTGCTGAGGCAGCCAGCCGTTGCCGAGGCAACCCGCCCCAACTGAGATACACGCCCACTGCTGACGCAGCCAGCCGTTGCCGAGGCAACCCGTCCCTACTGAGATACACGCCCACTGCTGACGCAGCCTGCTGTTGCTGAGGCAACACGCTACAACGAAGAGACTCCGCCGCAGGGCATGGCGGAGACCACAGCAGAGCCGGCAGGAACAGCGCGAATCACACAACAGCAGGGCGGAGCCTCGGCAGCCAAACAGTGGCTAGTCTGCCTTTGAGCTGGGCAGGACACCTGATCGGACATCCAAAAATAAAGCCCAAACCCCTCAACACAGAGCATTTGAGAAAAAAAAAAGGGTTGTTTAATGAGCTGTGTTGCAGCAGAATCAAACATAGCAGCCTAACAGCCCTGAATGAACAACAGAGTGCACAGCTCAGCAATTAAACCCCTATAAAGTACAAACTGTCTCCTCAAGCAGCTCCCTGACCCCTCTATATCCAAAAGACTGTCATTAGGCAGGCATCATCCTGGGACAAAGAGAGCAGAAAAAGAAACTGGTAGCATCCCTCGCTGTGCCACGGCTACTAGAGGTGCACCCCAGACAAGCAGGGGCTGGAGCGGACCTCAACAGTCGTACAGCAAAGGGGCTAGACTGGTAGAAGGAAAACCAAGTAACAGAAATACTTCAGCATCAACATTCTGGGTGTCCACTCAGAGACCCAAACGAAAAGTCAGCAACTACGCAGACGACCAGCGGACAAATCCACAAAGATGGGAAGAAACCAGCGCAAAAAGGAGGAAAACACCCGAAACCAGAACACATCGCCTCCTGGAAAGGACCAAAACTCCTCACCAGCAAGGGAACAAAGCTGGACGGAGAATGACTGTGACGAAATGACGGAATTAGACTTCAGAAGATGGATAATGAGAAACTTTTGTGAGCTAAAAGATCATGTATTAAATCAATGCAAAGAAACTAAGAACCTTGAAAAAAGATTTGAAAAAAGATTCGAGGAAATGATAACAAGAATGGATACCTTAGAGAGAAATATGAATGAATTAAAGGAGCTGAAAAACACAATACGAGAACTTCGCGAAGCAAACGCAAGTTTCAATAGCCGAATTGACCAAGCAGAAGAAAGAATATCTGAAGTCGAAGACCAACTCAATGAAATAAAACGAGAAACCAAGATCAGAGAAAAAAGCGCAAAAAGGAATGAACAAAGTCTCCAAGAAATATGGGACTATGTGAAAAGACCTAACCTACGTTTGATAGGTGTACCAGAAGGGGACGAAGAGAATGAATCCCAGCTGGAAAATACTCTTCAGGACATCATCCAGGAAAATTTCCCCCACCTAGCAAGACAAGCCAACACTCAATTGCAGGAAATACAGAGAACACCACAAAGATATTCCGCAAGAAGAGCAACCCCAAGGCACATAATCGTCAGATTCAACAGGGTTGAAATAAAGGAGAGAATACTAAGGGCAGCCAGAGAGAAAGGTCGGGTCACCCACAAAGGGAAGCCCATCAGACTCACAGCAGATCTCTCGGCAGAAACACTACAAGCCAGAATAGAGTGGGGGCCAATATTCAACATTCTTAAAGAAAAGAACTTTCAACCCAGAATTTCATATCCAGCCAAACTGAGCTTCAGAAGTGAAGGAAGAATAAAATCCTTTGCGAACAAGCAAGTACTCAGAGATTTTGTCACCACCAGGCCTGCTTTACAAGAGCTCCTAAAAGAGGCACTACACATAGAAAGGATCAATCAGTACCAGCCATTCCAAAATCACACTGAATGCTAAAGAGCTTCAACATAATGAAGAATCTACAACAACTAACAGGCAAAACAGCCACTTAGAATCAAAATGGCAGTATCAAATTCACACATAACAATATTAACCCTAAATGTAAATGGACTAAATGCACCAATCAAAAGACACAGACTGGCAAATTGGATAAAAATCCAAAACCCATCAGTGTGCTGTATCCAGGAAACCCATCTCACATGCAAGGATACACAAAGGCTCAAAATAAAGGGATGGAGGAAGATTTACCAAGCTAATGGAAAGCAAAAAAAAGCAGGAGTTGCAATTCTCATCTCTGATAAAATAGACTTTAAAGCAACAAAGATCAAAAGAGACAAAGAAGGCCATTACATAATGGTAAAAGGATCGATACAACAAGAAGAGCTAACGATCCTAAACATATATGGACCCAACACAGGAGCACCCAGATACATAAGGCAAGTTCTTAATGACTTACAGAAGGACTTAGACTCCCACACAATAATAGTGGGAGACTTTAACACTCCACTGTCAATACTAGACAGATCAACCAGACAGAAAATCAACAAGGATACCCAGGGCTTGAACTTAGACCTGGAGCAAGCAAACCTGGTGGACATTTACGGAACTCTCCACCCCAAATCCACAGAATACACATTCTTCTCAGCACCACATCACACCTACTCTAAAATTGACCACATAATTGGAAGTAAAGCACTGCTCAACAAATGCAAAACAACTGAAATCATAACAAACAGCCTCTCAGACCATAGTGCAATCAAGTTAGAACTCAGAATTCAGAAACCGACCCAGAACCGCACAGCTTCATGGAAACTGAACAACTGGCTCTTGAATGTTGACTGGGTAAACAACGAAATGAAGGCAGAAATAAAGAAGTTCTTCGAAACCAATGAGAACGAAGACACAACGTGCCAGAACCTCTGGGACACATTTAAAGCAGTCTCTAGAGGAAAGTATATAGCAATAAGTGCCCATATGAGGAGAATGGAGAGATCCAAAATTGACACCCTATCATCAAAATTGAAAGAGCTAGAGGAGCAAGATCAAAAAAACTCAAAACCC